TTGGCTGGTTAAGCTTCAGGCTTTCAAGCAGCAGTTCAGCTGAGAGCCATTGGGATGAGGACACAGAAGCTTCCAGTCTGAGGAAACAGGACCAGCTGAGGAACTGGTGAGGTGAGATAGCTGTGGCTTGTTCTGTCTCTCTGACCTTCCAGTATTCACCCCAATAACTGGCCCCGGGTTTGATTTTATTAATAAGAACTTTTAAGATTTCTGCTACAGATGGTCCTTCTGTACACTGTGAATATGTATTACTCACTGGTTAGCAATAAAGCTGTTTGACCTATGGCAAGGCAGGAGGTTAGGTGGGACAATCACAGTGAGGACTCAGATGAAGAGGGGCAGAGTCACGGGAGACACCAGTGAGCTACCCAAGAAGCAAGATGCTAAAGGACAGGTAAGGCCACGAGCCACGTGACAATACATAGATTAATAGAAATGGGTTAATTTAAATGTAAGAGCAAGTTAGTAATGAACTATGGCTGAACATTGTATAATTAATATAAGCTTTTGTGTTTATTTGGGACCAAAAAGTCAGGACAGAAAACTCTGCCTCCGTTTACACTTGAAAACCCTGGAAGATTCCCCTTCACTACAAAAGCTGGCCCTAGGTTCCATCTCCAACACCAAGGAAAAACGAAATAAACCAGAGTGGCTGGCTCCAGGCTGGAGGTAAGGAATACCAGACACAGGCCTGCCCAGGGATGGGTGCACACTCAACTGGTGAGGCTTCCTAACACTGAGCAACTTGCCTTAAGAGAATGGGAGGGTGTTGGGGGGAAGGGGACACAGATGATGACACCACATGCCCAATAAGAGGCCAGGGCTGTGGAGCTTCTGCACAGAGGGACAACTGGATACACTTTAACAGGCATTGGGGGTGTGGCCTGCAGTTGACTCTCATACAAAAAAATACAGCTTAGTTGTTTTCTTTGTAAATGTCACTATTTTGTGATACATAACAAAGTCCTTAATTCTGTCACTGGTTAATGGGGTCTCTGTTTAATTTTATTTTGAAACAGTTTCAATATGCAGCCCAGGCTGGCCCTGAACTCACCATCCTCCTGCCTCAGCCTCCCAAGTGCTGAGATAAGGAACAGCATGAGCCACCATGCTAAAAATAGGTGAGCAAGTTCTTGTGGAGTAAAATCAGTGTTCAGGGAAGCTCATCATTGTTCTCCAGGACATTGTATGTTCCTGAGACAATAGAACACAGAGCATCCACTTGGAGAGGTGTGACTAAGCTCTGCCCAGCAGGGGGAGTTAAGGCCGAGCACAAATTTTCTCCTGCCAACTTCATTTCACAACAGCCCTAGAGGTGCCATTAACAAGGCCCAGGAAGCTTCCACACCTGTACTGGACCTCTCATCCCTCCCTAAAGTGAGAGACAAACACCTCTGCTGTAGCGGGTAGCCACTCCAGTTTTGATCTGGAAGTTCCAACCCCCATTGAGGCTTCGGTAACTGTCACGCCTACAAGGTGGGGCTGAGAGGGCCCTGAAGACCTGAGATGCGCTGGCTCTCTTGGTTCCTGGACCCCAGGACGCTGAAGGTAGACCGAGCAGAGTTCTCCAAAGAACACTGCCGGACTGCGCTACATCTTTCCCAGACTCTGCAACCGATCCCTTCACTTGTAAGTTACCCTACAAAATAAACCTCCCTTTTAACTACGTGGAGTGGCCTTAATAATTTCACCAATACTCTGCCATCAGCTATATGGCCCAAGAGCTATAAGGGAGGGAGGGGGAGAGGTGGGGCCTCTAAAAATCCTCTACCTCCAGCATAGGTCAGCATGAGTCCTGTGTTGTTAATGAGAGTATGCAAAACTCTAGGCTGACATTCCACTTCAGTATTCTGTAAATGTACTCAAATTGCTTATGTATTGTTATTTATTTTATTTATGGAGTCTCGATTTTCCAAGTAAATTATTCTCCCCTGACTCTAATATATTAGTTTGAAATGACAAGTGTTGCAGCATTCAACACAAAATGAGCTCCGAATTAAAGAGATGTGAATCTTCAGATGTGGCGATAGAAATGTCCAGAAAGCCATTTGAAGTATGCGTATTTAAAACGTCAAATAATGGAGAGGGTTAGTGGAATTTAATGAGTTACGGCCTCATGTTTCTTAAAATAGTTTCTGTCACAGGAAGGCTGCTCAGACTGTAAAGTACCCAGGGAGGAGAGGACCTTGTGTGCCCACACCATGAACGCTGCCTATTTCTAGCTACAGGCTTTTCAACTGTTCATTGGCCACATTTAACCAGGGGTAACTCGGGTGACCTGGCCGGTGACTCAAAAAGGTCTTGCTCAGTTCCCAGGACAGCCTCTGACCCAGGATTCCCAAAGGGTCTGCTCCTATGTTCTGAGAACTTTGTAGCCCTGGAGAGACATGGGGACTTCAGATTCACTGACTGATGGCACACTAGGGGACAGCTGGCCTGCCTGCGGGTGTAGAGGGTTCCCAGAAGCATGCTGGAAAGAAATTTAAACAAATCCATCAGTCCACAACCAAGAGTAGGAAATCCACATGGGCCAGGTGCCAAAGGGCCATAAAAAAAGGTGGCCTGGGGCTTTTCAGTTCTGGTCTTAAGAGGACATTCATTTTTTACTCAAGAATGTGTCAAACTCACCCAAGTTGGCCTTGCTGCCCTGAGGGACAGAATATCTGTGGCTTTTCAAAGCAGCCAGGGCCACTAGCCAGTCATGGGGAGGCTAGGGTCTCCATGGTCCCTGATGTGTTCAGGTCCACCAAAGTTCCCTCATACAAGGCTGTCTCAAAATAATTTCCTGAGCAAATGATGGCACTACACACGGCAGGCAGGCTGTATGAGACTAGTGGTGTAGAACTGAGCAATCACTTTGCTCCTAGCTGCTGCAAGCACCATCCAGCCCAGGTCCCTAGCAGCACTGAGCAGAGATCTAAAGGACTGGGACTCATTCTGAACATATTCTGCTGCAGCCAGGTCATCTCCTGCGGGCACTCCCCTAATGCCCGCTTTGAAATAGGAGGTTGCTCCAGTCTTGGAAACACTCAGCCCGAGGCCACAGAAGTAAGAAGCCTGTTTTCAGGAGCAGAGCTTCCTAGAGGCCAGGAGCATGGGCTAAGGACCAGGTGCCTGGGCTAGGCTCAGTGCTAGGGGAGGGAGACCCAGAGCACAATCCAATCCTGCAGATGAGAGCAGGGGATCCCCACCACTCCACCCAAAAGGAAGATGTCCCTTGCTCTGGATCTTCCTTCTTTTTCCTTCAGTGTCTCTTAGGTGCTACAATCTAGATAGTACTTACCCACTGTGGCCTCACCCTGGAATTGGTCATCTGGTGCTCCCTCAGGCTGCAAGATGTCCCAAGACCTCAGGACTCTTCAAGCCTACTTTTGGTCCTAATGAAGGATCCAGTCCTGCACCTGCAACTTTGCACCATGGAAGGGCCCTGAGATCTATGGCAGTGCTCAAAAGACCCTCGGTTACACCTATAATTCTATCAATTATATCAATTACACCTGCAATGTGGTAAATCGGCTTTGTTTGTTTGACAGAGTCTGGTGTAACTCAAGGGCCTCAAACTCACTATGCATCGAGGATAGCTTTGAACTCCTGATCCTCCTGTTTCTACCTCTGAGTGCTGGGATAACAGATGTGCAACATCATGCCCGGTTTATGTGATGTGATTATACTAAGCAAGCACTCTAGTAACTGAGCTACAGCATGGCCAATAGCTTCTTTTTTACATGTTTACTATTTATACTCATGTGTATATGTGCAAGTCTCTGCATGTGAATATGTACCTGAGTCCAGATGTCCATGGAAGCCAGATGCATTGGATCTTCTGGAGCTGGAGTTACAGGGCCTTGTGAGCTGCCAAGGCCCTCTCTTCCCATAGTTTCTTTCCTCTTAATGGACAGGTTCTCTAGCACCAAGGTGAAAGAAAACTTCTAAGCCTTTTGTTACAAAGCCTTTTAGAAAACTCACTAGTGGCACATTTCTGTCTATCTAGGAACTCTAGAGGAAACCTGATTCCTGTTAAAAAATGGAACCCAGACAGAATAGTTTAGCATTTCCTTAGAGGTCACAGCAGTAGGGATTGGCAATGTAGTTCACTGTTCCGGGTTCCCAGGTCATTTCCCAGTGCAGAACTGTGTGCCCTTTCTGCAGCTGAGCAGAAAATCTCAGCACCCAACCAATCCAATGAGCAGTGAGCATCTTGCTTCCTTCTTTCCTGCAGGGGACAGCCCAATGACTTACACCTGAAACAGTGGATGCTAAAGAGAGAAGATGGCTCTGGTGAGGAGGAAGAGGAAGACAAGCCCAAACGTCCCAAGGAATCCCAACAGTACTTATCTCACTTCAGGCCTCTTCTTGTTCATTTTACAAATTAGTTTAAAAAAAAAAAAATTGTTACCTTGGGGAAAAAAATCCCCTTAAAATGAGATACAAGAGCACCACCCTGTGGTGAGTCTCTTTCACGTCTGTCTATACGTTTCCTACCATGTTCTGTACTTTCCTTCTAACAAGGTCATGTGTGTGAACACCTGCAGTAGCACATGTAACACAGAAGGTACATGTGGCATCTGAGAAGGGGAGCCTTACTGAGGTAACCCTGCTACCCCAACCAAGGAAACCTGGTGAAGGCAGACTAGGGTGAGGGGTCTCAGAGGCTGACTCCCCACCCCACCCCACAAGAGGCAGGTGCCAAGCTTCAGGGCAAGCTTCATCCCTGGTACACCACAGTCCTCAGTGGTGTAGGCCTGGTCTTCACCACCAACCCTGCAGTGTTGCGGCCCTGACCACTGATCTGGAAGGGTGTGGGCAGATCCTAATGGAGAGCTAGGGCTCCTGGGAAGCCTTTAGCTGCCACTGCCTCTGTGACTTCTGCACTAGAGAGGCCAGAACTTGATGCTGGTTGGTATACTGGTGAAACCTGAGGACCCAGCTGTCCCTCGAAGGGACCCCAATAAAAACAACCAAGCCTGCAAAGTTGGACAAGGCCCAGAACAAAAAAGTAGTGGTGTGGTTTTTTTGTTTTTGTTTTTGTCAAAACAACATCATACTGTTTATTACAAGTGTGCCTTTTATCCCCACTGACAAGAGTCATTCAGATTCTGAACTGACACGCTGAGAATTAACATGTAATATAGTCATTAAACATAACAGCATCATTTTGGGGTCAGTAGTGTTGTGTCCTTGTTGTTTCCCCAAGGTCTCAGCTTCATGAGTTAAAGTTTTGATGTCTCCCCAAGTTACTGGCTTCCTCTTCCTCTTAGAACGTCTCCTCTTGATGGGTTTGTCATCGACCTTCAGCTGCTTCATTTGTCCGGTGGTCTCCGGGGTACTCTCCGGGGTGCTCTCCTGGTTGGATGCATCAGGACGGGAGCCACCTGGGACTTCGTTCGTTTTCTGTGGGCCACCAGGCACTGATGGAGCACCAGAAGGTCCTGAAGGCTCCATCACTTGGTAAGGATTATTCGGAGCAGAATGGGGTCCTGGCACGGGATATGATCCTGCAGGGGCAGGATATGATGCTGGTGGTCCCCAGGCTCCCGGTGGCACAGTGCCCCATGGAACAGGCGGTGCTCCTGACACTGGAGGAAGAGCAGTGGGATGTGGTCCTGGAGATGAATATGGCATATTAGGATGCTGCCCTCCTATTCCTGGTGCCCAAAGTCCAGAAGACATGGATCCCCGTGTACCTAAAGCACCAGCTGCAGCTGGATCTGCGGGTGTACCATACGGCTTGGGTAGCTCTGGAAAGGGTATATTTGGTGTAGCATAAGGCCCTGTGGGACCAGGGCCTCGTACAGCAGAGGCTGAATAAGGGCCACTAGGTTGGAGACATGAAGGTCCAGAAAGAAGAAGGGATGCTGGAGATTCTGGTGGTGGTCCAGTTGGAGGGATGGACGGATACATCCCTGTTGGTGCTGGTCCAAAAGATACAGCGGAGGGTGCTATACTTGGTGGGAGTCCAGCTAGCACAGCAGGGGGAGCACTTATGATACTCCGAGGGCCGTTGCCTGGCCAGCCTTGAGGATGCTGGCCAGCTTTTGCATTGCTCACAGCAGAGGTTCTGGCAGGGGACTGTTCAGGTAGCACATACGCCAACAAAAATTCATCTGACATTTTCCCGGCAAGATCTGAACCTGTGGCATGACGCATAGTGGTGATGAATCCAAAGAGACAGGCAACGGAGAACCAGCCTGAGCAAGCTGACTGCTTTAAGTCTGCTTCATAAATGAAATTGTGCCCTAAACAAAACAAAACAACTGGTTGATCAGATCCCATTTTGAACCTTTAGTGGTCTGGTCACTTCTGCAAAATGAAAAGAAGGCCTGGGAAGACTCAAGTGGTAGAGACTGGGTGGTTGGGGACAGAGACAAGAGGGGCCAGCATGCAGGGAATGAGGGTAAAGAGAGCATGTAAAGAGCAGCAGTGTGAAAAAAGATGGTTCTAGAAATGTTTCCACTGTTGTTTTTGGAAAATAGTCTTGTAAACTGATTTTAAAGGGATAGTTGTATATTAGAAAAACTCTAGTAGACTGAAAATACCCAAATTGAGAAAGAACATTTACAAAAAACTAAAGTTGACTTCTTCCTTAATGGTGAGAAAGTAGAGTGTTTCCACTTGCAATCAGAAAGTACAAGGCTGGGGTGCCCATTTCACCACTCCTACTCGGCCAGCATCAGAGAGAAGGCCCAGTTAATGGGAGACAAAGACTACAGCAAAGGAAAGACCATGGAGGTAGATGAACAAAGGAAACAAGTCTCTGTTCCAATTATTCGACTGTCTACATGGAAAATTCCAATGAATGGACCACAACAAAAATACCTCCTGGAAGATATAAGTGATCACAGCCAGGCTGCAGGACAGAGTCACCACACAAAAGCCCAATTCTTTCCTGTGTACCAGCCCTACAAGAGTGCATAAGCGGGCTGGAGAGATGGCTTAGTGGTTAAGGGCACTGGCTGCTCTTCCAGAGGTCCTGAGTTCAATTACCAGCAACCACATGGTGGCTCACAACCATCCATAATGAGATCTGGTGCCCTCTTCTGTCCTGTAGGCACATATGCAGACAGAACACTGTATACATAATAAATAAATAAATCTTTTTTTAAAAAAAAAAAAAGTGCATAAGCACCAAAAGAATTAATGTCAGAATTCCAGAATCATCAAAACAGAGCAAAGGCAAAGAATCGACACTACCTAACTTCAAATAAGTTCGTAGAGTGACAAAAAACAAGACAGCATTATACTTGGAATAAGTAAATAAATAAAAACAATGGGATGGAAAAGCTAGTCTGGAAACAGGTCCACACAAGTTTCAACAGATCTTTAACATGACAATGGTACAAAGAAAGTCTATTCCACAAAAGGTGCTGAAATACCCAAATGTCCACAAGCCAAAACAAGTAACTCAGCCAAAGATGGACTCTTCTCAAAAAAGTAGCTCAAATGGATTATAGACCTAAAGACAAGGCATAATAAAACACATAATACTACAAAAAAAAAAAAATAGGCAAGACCTTTGTGGTTTGGCAATGAGTTTTTAGACACAATACCAAAACCAAAATTGTGGAAGAAAAACTAAGCTGGTTTTCTCTAAAATGTAAAGCTTCTACTATGTGAAAACCTGTCAGAATGAAAGAAATGGTCTCAAAATATCCCTGGTAGGGCTGTCCAAGAGACTCCCCAAATACACGGTGTATTGCTGTTGTCCTTGGTTATCACCACTCCCCAGAAGTGGAACCTAAGTCCCTACTGCTAAAGATACCATGAACTGAAGATAACGGTTCAGAAACTGGGCCCAGAGACCCCTGAGCTAGAATTGACCTAAATACCCCCTCCTTGAGGGCTAGCTTTCATGGTACAAGAAGACACCATGCAAGCTTCTAAAGAAGGGAAGTTAACCAACAGTCCGACCCAGCATGGCACGATAACCCTAAGGGTGCAGTGGCACACATACCTTGGCAGTAACCAATAGGTCTCTAATTGGACTTGAGACCCATTCAAAAACAAGGAAATGATGCCTGGTACTGGAAGCCTAGCTAACTACTCAAGTGCTAGTGAAGGTATAGATACTGGAGGAAAATCTATAACCACGTATTTACTAAACCATCATTATTTAACAGTAATTTAAACATTTGTCTGTCCTTATATCCATCATCAAGTAAACTTCCCTTTGCAACAGACAGAAAACCACAACCAATGAAAATGCAGTTGTAGAGCCTCCTGCCAGTGGATACATGTAAAAACATTTCTGCACCCAAGGCACAGAGAACATTGTGGAAGAGGGGACAGAAAGACTGTAAGAGCCAGATGACTAGGGACTTAGTTGGCTGTAAGAGTGTGTCTCCTGGTAATATCAGAAGCTACATCCATAAAGTCTCACCAACATGAGTTCCCAAACATGAGCTAAACAAGGACAGCACCAATGGACATGACGTAGTGGACAGAGAAAAGCCCACAAGGCCTCAACCCTACACAAGGAACTATAGGCAACTAAGGAAAGCTGGGAATGGGAGAGACTGTCTTCCCTAGGGAAGGGCACACTAATTGGTTGTCTGGTGCCAAACAGTCAGCCATGAAAACATATAAAAAGGTAGCATTATACAGACTGAACAGGTTATATTTAGGAATATATTTATATACATATATACATACATACATATATATATGCAATAACAGTTAAAAAGGAGGCCATAAATTTGAAGAAGAGCGGGGAGGAGTACATGGGAGGATTTGAGGGAGGAAAGGGAAAGGAGAAATGTTATAATTTTTATAATCTCAAAAATGAAATAAAAAAAATATCTCTGGTAAAGAGCCAGTGTCAAAAAACACAGAGGCACTCAGAGAAAGAGGGCTGGTTGGTATACTGGTCATCCAGCTACTGTAACCAATTGCCAGACTTCATGACTTTCAGCAACAGAAGTGTATTCTCCCTCAGCTCAAGATACCAGATGTTCACAACCAGCCTCACTGTGGGCTCAGCTAGGCACCTTCCAGAAGTTCTAAGGTCCTTCCTTCTGCCTTCTAGCCACAGAGACAACGAGAGGACATCACTGCAGTGGCCCCCTCAGTCTCCATCTCATCTGCTCCTCTGTTTTTCTCCCTTTACCTCTACAACAAAATGACTTTCCACGCTATCAGGGGCTCCATATAGCCATGTTATCATCTCAAGACCCTCAACTAGGGACTGGAGAGATGGCTCAGCAGTTAACTGAACCCTGGCTGCCCTATAAGCACTAGACACATAGGTGATACACAGACATAATGCAAACAAAATACCCATATACATAATAAATAAATAATTTTAAAAGCCTCTCAGCTTGATTATATCCAAAACCTCATGTCCCAATGAGGCTTCACTCACAGTTCAGGGAATGGAAGCATAGATACATCAGCCTCAACAGTCAGCACGGGAAAGGGTTAGTCTAAGGAGAAATGGCATATGAGATCACAAGGAGGCATAAGGGGGCCTCAGGCCCCCTGGCTGGCTTCAGCACCTAGGTAAGGTTTAGAGAGGCTCTCACATTTCGAGAGGAATCATGGGAAGTTTCACTAAGAGTAGCATCAGACAGATGCTGGCATTTTTTGTTTTCGTTTTGATTTTTCTATGTGTAACCTTGGCTGTCCTGGAACTCACTCTATAGACCAACCTCCCCTCAAACTCGGAGATCTGCCTGCCTCTGCTAGGTTCTTACGATGACTCCTGCAGATGGTTGACAGAAGGGCTGAGGGGGACAGAGATCACTGAAGAAGGGTCAGCCGGACATTCCAGCTCAGAGAGAAGCTAGGGCAGAAGCTGCCAGATCGAGTCTGTCTCCCAAAAGAACTTGTGGGCTTGGCTTCTGCCCTGGGAGAACCAAGGCAGCTCAGACCTGAGAGCAGACATAGCCACGTGCTCAGACCAAAAGCCTTGGTCAGCCTAAGTTTCCTACTTCACCAGTACAGGGGACAGACACTATTGCTTCTCCTCTAAGTTAAGACTTGATTTCTACATCAAAATAGTAATAAACCACAAGGAGTACATGGGATATGTTTTGCCAAGGACATGGGTCAAGTTTATCAAAACTTCACAGTCACAAACAAGATGTCTGGCTGAAGGCCAGATGGGTCTCCTGTGAAGACCTGAGCCCAAAAGTCTCACCCTTGAGCCAGACACAGAACAATCAGCCATGCCTTACAGGCAGCCATTGCATTTTCCTCAGAACCCCATAGGGCAGAAAAACCTGTTCTGCTTTGTGAGGGTGACTGGGCCAGGTCTGTCATGAAATGAAAACTTGTGTACACACACACACACACACACACCTGCCCTGTTTCCATTCACTGTTTTCTGCTCTCCCTTCTTCTTCCTCCCACTCCCCCATCTCTGGCAGCAGGTGAGAGACAAGGCCAAAGGTCAGGGACAGGGCATGTCTAAGCATCCTAATGACCTCACCCCCCACTCAAAAGGCTGATAAGAGGTTTCTGTCCAGGATTTTACAGTGGGTTTGCGAGTGTGTAAAGATTCTGTCACCTTATAGGGGTAGGGCTCAGTTTCTGATCTCAAGAGATTTCTGCTTCCAGAATGCTTTTGTGAAAACAGAATTCCAATCACCTCCCCATCACCTTGGTCTCTTCCAGGACTTCCAAGGTTGGCACTGAGCTGCTTCGACTGTCTCAACCAGCAGAGGGCAGCAGCTCCCTGATGAAGAAAGCACCAGCTGCCAGCTTTGTGCTTAGGGAAGCTCCTCCAAGAAGGGCTGGATCAGGCATCTGGTACTTCTATGGATATATATTGTGTATGTGTGGGGGGTGGTGGGGGTGTGTGGTGTGGTGTGGTGTGGTGTGGTGTGGTGTGTGTGTGTGTGTGTGTGTGTGTGTGTGTGTGTGTGTGTACTAGGACCCATAAATGATTCCCACCTCTCTGAAGCTCACTAACAAAAATATCTCTCATTGAAGCCACAAATAAGGTTGATGTAGAATTTTAGTTTACTTTCTGGTACCCTCCTAACTCCCTATGCTAAGCTAGGAACTGTTACTCCTAACTATTGATGATGAAGAAACTAGTTCAGAGAAGCATTGGTGGCACACACTTGTCAGTATATACCTGTGTGCATACCTGTGATCCCAGCATTAGGAATACAGAGGCAAGAAGGCCCAGGAGTTCAACATCATCCTGGACTACATAGAGACCAAGGTCAGACTGGCCACATGAGACTTACAAGAAAGAGAGGGAGGGAGGTGAGTCTTCCAATCTGGTGGAGCA